GCACTCAGTGCTCTGGGCTGGGGGACAAGGTGGGCGTTGATCACAGCATGGAATCTGTGACCTTGGAGGGCTTTTCCAACCTCAGTGATTCCATGAATTTTAGCAAAGCACATGGGAAACGGCTAGAGGAAGCCCAGCCTTGACTTCCAATTCCACGTGTGACAGGGTAAGAATTGAGTTTTTTAAGAAATAAATACACTTTTTCTCAACTTACTTTCTTCCACGTCTGCTGTGGTGGCACCGCCTCGGAAAAAAACCCAGCACTTGATCCTTCAAAGAATAAATGTTTGTATTTGCTCCCCCCAGGCTGCTCCAGGACAGTCCCTGGCTGATCTCAGCACTCAGGGATTGTTGGGCACTTGGGACACTGCATCCCCTTGGCATCTCCGAGCACGCTGGGAGATGGTTTTGCTGCTGATCTGAAACTCAAACTCCCTCAGCAGGAGGGAAATGCATTTTTAAAGTGCATTAGTGGAATCCCCCCACATGGGACAGTGCAAAACAGAGAGGCAGGTCTTGCTGTACCTCTGCTCTCTGCATTCCTGCCTTGGATCAGACTTTATTCCAGAATTAGCTTTTTTTTTCACTCTCTTTGGCTGGATTAACATGACTGGGACAGGATCTGCCCCCTAAGATAGAAATTCGATGTGGGAGCAATAATTGTCATTGTTGCTGTTGTTTTCCCTTCTGAAACTGTCTTCTGCAAGATCCCACATCCCTGGAAGTGTCCAAGGCCAGGTTGGATGGGACTTGGAGCAACCTGGGCTAGTGGGAGGTGTCCCTGCCCATGGCAGGGGGTGGGAATGGATGAGCTTTAAGGTCCCTCCAAACTCAAACCACTCCATGATTCTAAGATCCTCTGGTGCAACATGTCCCAGCACAAGAAGGCAAAAAGAAAACAACATGAAAGATTGCACAGTGAGTTTTGGTAAAGTTTATCAATGAGGCTGTAAACACATTTCTTAGTTATTTTTTTCCAAGGCCATGGTCCTGATGGAGCCAGGGGTCCCTTCCTGCCACAACTGGGTGACCAATGGGCACCTGCCTGCACAGCTTGAGTTTTTCCAAGCACCTTTTTTTTGGTGGATTTCTTCAGTTAGGCAGCAGCTTGTGCTGCAGAAGATTCAGCTTCAGTTCTTTCAGAGTGGAGAGACAGAGGTGTTGGGGCCTCCCAAATGTGGGGAGCAAAGACAAGAGCACTTTTCAACCTTCACTCCAGTTGGGTGCCAAAACTCAGGAGTTTTAGGGAACTCAGCCAGGCTTAATTTCCTTCTACTGCCATGTTTTGAGTTTTGAGCTGTGCATTCCCAGCTGGCCCAAGGCGAGGAACAGCAGCAACAACTGCATTTGTTAGGGTGCCATCATGGAATAAAAGAGAAAAGTTTTGTTCCAGAGTTAACCCAGGAGGATCATCTGCATGGAGCTGGATGAACACTCTCAATGAACAGCCTTCCAAAGTTTGGGAGACACATCTTGGAATGGATTTAGGAAGTGAATAGTTGCTTTTGTGTTGGGCTGAGGGAAGAAGAGCCAAGAACCCTGTGGAGTTTTCCTGTGTGTCAGAAGACAAATGTCCTGTCACAGTGTTGGCAGCTCTGCCACCGAGTGGCTTTTAGGCTGAAATCCAGCCCTTGGGGCACAGCCAGGATTGCTTGGAAGCCCTTGCTGGTTTTGTACAGGAATAATCCCATGGGATGGATCACAGGGATGAACCAAAGCCCTCCAAAGGGGGGATGATCTTCTCCCTGGGTGACTGCACATCCGCAGGGATGGAACCCAGCCTTTCCCACCTCCTCTGGGTTGGGCACATCCTTGCTTTTGTACCAGGACAGAGACTCACCGGGGATGTTTTAGCACAGCTGTTTTCCCAGAGTTTGGCAGCTGGTGTTGGGCACGTTGAGCTCTCTGGGAAAACGTGTCGCGTTCGGAGCCGGCCGGAATAGCTGCAGACACCGAGCAATTCCCCACGGTCCCTCCCCAGGAATAGGGACTGTCAGACCCTACACAGTGTCCCATAGCTGAGGAGTGTGGAACACAGCCAGCAAAAGTCACTTCTCCTCACCAGCAGGAGCTGCTCCTCCTTTCCCTGTCAGAGCCCAGGGGGAATCAGGGAAGGGAGACGGGAGACGGTGCAGGGCTGCTCCTCATCCTGTCACCTCATGGCAGCCCCACAGCTTTTCTGATCCAGCATTGGGATGGTTGTGGATTAAAACAATTAGCTTTATTGGCACTTGGGGTTAAAACTCAACTTCCTAAAGTTAGGGGTGTGCTTTGCCTCGTTGTGCCTCTGGAGCTGCTGTCCCTGTCTAGAGGAGGTGACAGGGATGTTTTAAGATCTTCATTGCTGACAGGATTTAAGGAGCAGTTGGAGAGGAACTTCTTGGAAAACTCTGGGTTACTTGATGCTGCTTTGTTTGGCAAAACAGTCACTTCTTGATGAGCTGGAGCTGCATTTGCTGTGATTTCTTCTACCATAAATAATGAATGCATTGAACCCAGTGTTTGCTTTTCTATATATTCAGACTCTTTCACAGATCTCACACAGCTGTAGAAAATGAAATACAATTTTTTACACCTCTTGCTGTGCTGATCAGATATTTCCTTGGAGTTTTCTGCTCCCCTTTGCCTCCCTAACATGTGTTTTCCCACTTGGAGCAATTTGCAGCTCAGCTGTTTTGCTCTAAGCTCTCCCTTGAGAGCTGAGGCTCCATTTTCCTTTCAGTGCAAGTACCCACATGGAAATAACCTTCAAAACACTCATTTTTGTATTCAGCTCTTTCAGTCATACAGGCAGGTTTGGGAGGAAACCAAGGATCTGTTTGATGAATCCATTTAATATTGTCCTGCAGAGAGCAGAGGTGTGTTTTTATTGACCTGGACAATCAAGTCCTGTAAGGCCTTTTCTTATGAGACTCAAATATTCGGCTGCATTGTCACTTCTGGCTGTTCAGGAGGATATTGGCCCATCATAAACCTGGGATATTAATGGGGTAATTCCCTGATATGCTGTAGCTGGAGTTTGTTTTCTCAACAAGCTGATTTTCCCATTACCTGCTCTGTTGCTGAGTTTAAGTTGTAATCTCTTCTCGTGGTAAGATTTGGAATTTCTTCAGAGCTCACGGGCTATTTCCCTGGTTTTTATGGACTTGGTCTATAGTGGATGTTTCCCACTACCCTCCCCTGGATTGCATAATTATCCATAAAAAAAAATACTCCCTCAATTTGGGAGTGTAATGGTGCAACCACAGTAAAATCCATCCCCTTTTCCAATGCTATTATCTTCTCCCGTAAGTTTATTCCTCATTTGGGAATGCTGGAATTGGTATAATGAACCTTCATTTTATACTTCTTCCCAGTCATCACATAATTCCTTTTCAGTGCTTCCTGTCTGCTGTTGTTGTGTTTTGGACCTGTGTGTTTCCAGCTATAAAAGTGCCCTTCCTAAGGAAAAAAAAAGGTGTTACTGAGAGGATGAAAAGTCCTATTTTTCTGCATTTATTTGGCCAGGTCTCTCTTGTTGCCATTACATAGATTCAGCTGAAGCTACTTTTTTAATCAAAAGGAGGCAAATAGTCCTAGAAGAATTTAGGTTGGAAAAGACCTTTAAGATCATTGATTCCATAGGTTCTCTCAGCACTGCCAAGCCCTGAATTTCCAGGGATGGGGCATCCACCCTTTCTCTGGGCAATGGTGTATTTTGGGTTCTGTTTACCACTCAGAAGGAAATGCTTCCAGCAGCTCCCTTGGCTCCTCATTATCCACATTCCTGGAATCAGACCAGAACACTGGGAATGTCAGTCCAACACTGGGAGCACAGGACTGTGTTCACACCATGTAATGGATTGTGGGGAAGCAACTCCCGAGCAAACTGTTCTTGGAAACAGCCTTGGCAGAGCTCTACCCTCTACTCTTTCATGTGGGTGTGTCGTTAATTAGTCTGTGGAGGACAAGTGGTTTTAATTAAAGCAGGTGCAGTGCTGCTTTCCTGCCTCTGGAATGAACATCGTGTCTGGGTCTCGCTCAGCACCACTTGGGAATATTGATGAACATCAGGTTTTTAGGGAAAGCAGGGAGACACAAACCAGGGCTGTTGCAGAATCCCAGGCTGGGGGAGGTTGGGAAAGGCCATCTGGAGCTCATCTGGCCCATCCCCCTGTTCAGGTTGCTGGTTGCTCGGGATCATGTCCACCTGGCTTCTGAGTATCTCCAAGGAGGACAATTCCCAGCCTTGCTGGGTGGGCTGCAAGGCAGTGGAGATACAGCTTTAAGGTCAGGGTCCTTGCTGGAGGTTTGGAGACCCGATTCCCTGTCCCTCCTCCTGCTCCAGACTGAATTCCACCTCGTTCTGGTGGCCCTGGGTCAGTTGTTGCTGCATCACCCTCTTGTTCCAGCCGGCATGTCCAGCCCAGCCCTGTGCTGAGGGCAGTGCTACCAAACAAGGGGAAAAGGTGCCTTTTTGGCAAAAGAAAATCAACAAAGTCGGGTATAAACCCCCCAGTGAAGTCTTCAGTACCTCCTGGAGTGTTGGGTGGGGGTCTGTTGGTGCCCTGTGCCCTTGGCAGCTCCGTGCTCCGTGTTTCCCGTGTCCGTGTGTGGTTTCCAACTTTTCCCTGGTGCTGGTTGGAGCTGACCTTCTCTACCTTCTTTTGGAGTTGGATTTCACTCTGGTGGGCTGGAAGCAGACCAGGAAAAATGTGCCCAGCCATAGGTGTGACTGAGCAGGCCTGTGGTGCAGATGGATTCTGGTGGATCCTGGATGGATTCTTAGTTGGTCCCAGCTTTACAGGTGGTTTTCCAGAGGTTTCACTGCAAGTGGTCTCCCGTCATCCCAAAATACATCTTGGCTGCTGGAAAGGGCTCAGATTTCCATTGTTTGCTGCTTTTCTTGTTCAGCCCCAGAGGACGAGGGCAAAATATCCCTGGAAGAGAGAGGAGAGGTGCAGCTGGAATTATGTCCTGTCTAAAGGGATCCATTAACCGAGGTTTCTCTTCTGTTGCAGCGTTCCCACATTCCAGAGCCTTCCCGAGGAGATACTCAGTAAGCTTGCAGATGTCCTTGAAGAGGTAAGTGCTTTCAATATTGAGACTTTAAGAGTCCAGAACCTTCCAGTGGCAATATCCAGGCTCTGTTGCTCCCCAAGAACAGCTTCCCAGTTGTGCTCCCAGTTGTGGTTGACTTTTCCAAGCACATTTAAATCATGAGAGGAACTGTTTGAAAAATCAATCCAGTTTGGAAAAGGGTTTGTTGGTTTTTTTTTAAATTGAATTTCGATCAGGTTGGGGAGTGAAAGAATCACTTCCTGTGGTGCCCAAAAGGGGAACCACCTTCTCCAGCCCCTGATTCAGTGGTGGGGGACAAGAGAGGAATGTGCAAACAGCATTTCCTTCCATATTTGATGGGACACTGATGTTAGAGGGCAGTTTAAAGGAGGTGTCATGGAAAAGGTGCTTTGGGAAGAGTTACAGCAGAGAGGGGGGTGGTCTGGACAGAGCTGGGCTTTGCCCACCTGGGGTCTCATTAATGTCAGGCTTTTATAAAGTCTTGACATAAAACAAACCTGAAGAAACCACCCACAAAACAACAACAAAAAGACCACCCAAAACACCAAGCAAAAAAAACCCCCTAAAACCCACAAGAAACCCCTTTCACCCTGCAAACAACCCCCTGCAAACAAACCAAAAACCCCAAGTTGTCCTGTGAGTGAAAAAGGGCTGCGCAGTGCTGGAGTGGCACTGCAGGCACTTTGCTGCCGACGGGGGAGTTGCTTTGAGTTCCTTTTTTCCGAGTGTTGTTCCCTCTCTACCTTTTCCTTTAGCGTTCAGATTAATCCCGTGGCTCCAGCAAACCAGCTGCTTGTCACAGGGAATAACTGCGTGTTCCTAGATAAGCTTTATTCCCTTTCCTGCTGGAGAAAGGAACATGGAGTGGATCTGCCAGGAATTCAATTTGCCTATCTCCAGACCCCATTCCCAGCCACAAGCACAGCTTTGTTTCCTTGGATCACATAACCAGCATTAAGCTCCTTATCGAGAGTTAAGGAAGAGAATCGAGTCAATAAAACTTTTGCAGGGACATTTAAAGTTTTGTGGAAGAGGGGGGAAAAAAAAGTCTTAATAAATGCCCATGAAGAAGCGAGGCACAAAAGTGGGGATAACTCTGGACCCTGAGGATGGATGGTGTGGAAAAGTAGGCTGGTTATCCCAGTCTGGCCCGGGATACAGCTCCCAGTTTCCTGCTTGGAATCAGCCTTTTTGTCCTCTCTGAGTTTGTCTTTGATTTAAGGGGACCCTGTTTTACATAAGAGAAAATCACTCTCTGATCTGTATATTTAGATTTATATGTTCTATAACACAGAAATGTGTACAGTATATAGATATATAGGTAAATATACCACAATACACTAAATATATGCTATGGTACACTAAATATATACTATAATACCCTAAATATAGTGTGTGTAACCACTAAATATAGTATATATTTAATATATTATAATCTATATTTAGTGTATTATGTACTATCATATATAGTGCGTTATGATCTATTATATATAGTGTACTATATATATAGTGCATTATATACCATTATATATAGTGTTTTATATACTATAATATACTGACTAGATATTATAATACCCTAAATATAGACCATAATACACTAAATAATATATATAGACACTAAATATAGTATATATGTGTAGTGTGTTATAGTCTATATTTAGTGTATTATGTACTATAATACACTAAATTATATAGACACTAAATATAGAAATATTTAGTATATTATAGTCTATATTTAGGGTATTATGTGCTATAATATATAGTGTGTTATATATAGTATACTATATATAGTGTATTATGCACTATAATATATATTATATATATACTATATATAGTGTATTATATGCTATAATACACCAAATATAGACTAAAATACACTAATTATATACTATCATATAATAATTATATACTATATATCCTTTGCATGTCTATATACTATATAGCTTTATTATGTAGAGATCTATATATCATATATAAATACACTATAATACTACATATACTATATATAATCTACATATACTATATATAATCTATCTACATAGATACTACTACATATACTATATATAATCTATCTTTATATGCTGTATATACTTTATATACTGTATATAAATATCTATTATATATATTTATCTATATACTGCATATAACTAGATAAATGTAGTACTGCTACAATCACTTTGTATTTAACATGATTTGTATCCAACATCGGAACGAAACAGCAGTAACTTTATTTTATCCTCTCTAATAACTTGATTTTATCTTCTCTGTCGCTGCAACAAGGATTTGCATAAAAGTGATTGATTTGGCACAGTTTTAGGCAGGGGGAGGAAACAAAAAGCTCAATGTCAAGATTTCCTGTGGTTTTCCTGTTGATCCAGTTATGTGGGTAAAGCAGCACTTCTGTCCTAAGCTTCTCAAAGAATTTCTAAAAAATGTTGAGTAAAATCCTACAGCAGGGAAGAAAAAAAAAGGTGGTTGAATCGCCTGTTATCCAAATCACACTTGGGAATGGCATTAAAAAGGCAGCAGGGAGGGAGAAAGGTCAGTGTTTGATAATTTAATTTCTACAATTGGTGGGAATGCAACAAGTCCCTTGGATAACTCGGGCATTCACAGAACCTGGGGGAATTTCCCCTGCTCTTGGTGTGGCTTCCGAGCTGAGGAGATCACTCCCAGCAAGGAAATTTCCTTGGATTTATAGACATGAGAGTAGAAACAAGTGTCTTGGGTTGAGTTTTAGCACATTCCCCCCTGTCTCCTGACGTGCTGAGGGTGTGCCAAGGAATGTCCCAGGAACTGGCTTTCCAGGGCCACCACTGCCCCTGTTCCCAGCCCCTTGCTCAGCTTTCTCCAGCTGTAGATCTCTGTGGTTGCACCATCTCAAAGCAGCTTTAGTTGCACATTTAACTCCAGGATTTGGGAATTCTGTTACAGCTTTTAATGATTGAAGGATCATTTAGGTTGGAAAAGAGCTCCAAGATCATCCAGTCCAGCTGTTGCCCAGCAGTGCCAAGCCCAGCACTGGCCCATGTGCTTTGGAACACCCCCAGGGATGGGGACTCCACCATATCCCTGGGCAGCCCCTTCCAAGGCTTTACAGCCCTTTCCATGAGGAAATTTTCCCTACTATCCAATCTAAACATTCCCTGGTACAACTTGAGGCTGTTTCTTCCTGTCCTGTCACTTGGGAGAAGGGATTGACCCCCACCTGGCTCCACCCTCCTTTCAATAGGCTGCACCTCTGCCCCAGTCCCAGGATTTGGGAATCACTATTATACCCCTGTGTGGCTTTTCCCAGCAACCAAATTAAACCCTTCTGTCTCTCTCCATTGCATTTTTAAAATTACATTGATATTTTAGTGCCTTGTTTAGACTTCATTTTTGGTTTACATGGGTTTTGGTAGCTCAGTGTCTTAAGGAGATGGGTGTAGGACAGTCCTCTCAAATCATTTGCTGGGAAGTTCCTGCGATATTCATCCAAATTATGTAGCAGGACAAGAAAAAAGGTGGAAATTGGAGGATGTGGAGGCAAAATAAATGCAGGAGTTTGTGGTCAGTGCTGCCTCCCCTTCACATACAGTGAGCTGTGGGAAGGGGGGGCTGTTTGGGGGAGGTGGGGAACAAAGGGTTAATGGTGCTTGTGCTGTGCAAGGGATGAAGGACCCAAATCCATCAGTTATTCCATCCGGGAACAGTTTTCATCCTTATTTTTTCAATAGCGTGTCATGGAATTGCAGAATGGGTTGGGTTGGAAGGGACATTAAAGTCCATCTAATTCCACCCCCTGCCATGGGCAGGGACACCTTTCCACTAGCCCAGGTTGCTCCAGCCTGGCCTTGGACACTTCCAGGGATCCAGGGGCAGCCACAGCTTCTCTGGGCAACCTGGGCCAGGGCCTCCCCACCCTCACAGGGAACAATTCCTTCCCAATATCCCATCTAACCCTGCCTTCTGGCAGTGGGAAGCCATTCCTTGTGTCCTGTCCCTCCACCCCTTGTCCCCAGTCCCTCTCCAGCTCTCCTGGAGCCCCTTTAGGCCCTGCAAGGGGCTCTCAGCTCTCCCTGGAGCCTTCTCTTCTCCAGGGGAACCCCCCCAGCTCTCCCAGCCTGGCTCCAGAGCAGAGGGGCTCCAGCCCTTGGAGCAGCTCCGTGTCCCCTCCGGACTCACTCCAGCAGCTCCACATCCCACTGAAGCTGGGAGCCCCAGATATGATAATCAGCGATTTCAAAGTTTTGTAGTTCCAAATCCACAGGAGGGGTTGGAATTAAGGTCTCGTTGGCATTTTCGGCTCCGGCATTTTCTAAATCCCGTGTACTCGGTGTTCCTTTGCTGTCTGGGATTTAATGTGCTAATCCATGGAGGATGCTCCATGTGTGAATCTGAGCAGTCTGAGCGGCAGAAAGCGAAAAATGCAGTTGGGTTTGGTTACCAAAATCCTGGAGGTTTTTCTTTGTGTGTGGATAATGTCAAATCCAAACTACGTCAAACGGATTCGTCTCATGTGTTGTGTGTCCAGGACACGAGGGAGCTGTGATATCTTTATATATATATATATATATTTTACTGCTTTATGTATAGAAAATAAGTGTTCCAGGCCAGGTTGGGCAGGTCTTGGAGCAACCTGGGCTAGTGGAAGGTGTCCCTGCCCACGGCAGGGGTGGAATGAGGTGGGTTTGAAGGTCCCTCCCAACCCAAGCCGCTCTGGGATTCCCTGATAGTCCTTTGTGACACATTGCAAATATGTCATATTTATATACCACAGTTGCAAGGTAAAATAGATATTCAAATATAATAGAAACATGGCTAATTGCCCTAAATGAAGCTGCAAACCACTTCATTAACTAGTCCTAGGTTTTCCTGGCTGTGACTGGAAAGTGGTTACGGTTTGGCTTGGGAATGCATTAGAGCCCTGGGGCTGCCATTCCCATGTCTCCCAGCGTGCATTTTGGGAATTGTTTCTCTAGAAGCATTAATACTCCAACATTTTTATTCAGTTGAATACC